AGCATGCACGAAACAAGGATGTGTCGTCTTATCATATCTCAGACCATACTCTCTTGCTGTCAGACTTAAACCTACGTCTGTCACTTGGGCTGTTATGTACATGCACTAAGTATTATTTTATTTGCACAATTGCTTTAGTTCTGTAGTCATTCTAGCATCCATATAGAAGAGAATGAATAATACAAACAGTAGCATAATTGTCAGATCGATGTTTTAATTCTTTGAGGCAATGATGATACACGAATCACAATCAATACAATAGGTTATCGACTACACAGTGGATTCCCAGCATCCAGATTCTCATGTGACTGTGTACTTAGGATATCAATCCCCAACGTCTCGGCAGCTTCATCCGTGGTGACCGTGTCCTCCGTGGCCATGACCTCCGTGACCATGACCTCCGTGACCATGACCTCCGTGACCATGACCATGTCCTCCATGACCGTGACCACCATGTCCATGTCCATGACCTCCATGTCCGTGACCACCATGTCCATGACCACCATGTCCGTGGCCACCATGACCGTGAGCACTAGCCAAACCCAAAACGGCTGCCAGAGCTGGAAAATAAACAAAGACACGCCCATGTATAAAGCATTACACTTTATATAGTAGATGTTGAGGAGGATGTTGCTTGAAACTTGAAGCAACACACTTTCCTGTGAAATTAACACTTTTACGCTGTTGGAATATAGGATTTGGAGTTACAATACTGTCATATCACACACAAACAACTCCATTTTAAAGATTGCATGGGACATGTTACTTTCCAGCGTTTTATTTCGGACAGCTAATACCATTTAAACTGATATAGCATGACAACAGAATGATAATACTCACCAAGGCCAAGAAGTGCGGCGAAGTCAGAGAACTGCATATTGTATCGTAATGTCCTTCTTTGGTAAGCGAAAGGAAAAAACTGATAGCTGCCAGTTTTTTACGAACTTATATACCTCGCGATCGCGGAAATGGTAGAAAAATTATATCATAATGATATTATTGCATAAACTGCTTTGTAACGCTTGTGGTGATGTCACAGTGGTTTTAGCTACACACCAAGCACACCGCAGAGCTCCAAGGAAGCCTATTAATATCCCGCAAGCGATGCATGTGGTGATTTGCTGTCGGCTAAATGTTTTCGTTTTACACATACATGTAGTTCAACCCCCTTTATCAATTACCATTAGACTGGCCTTCACCATACCCTCTTACCTTTTGTCGGTACAAGAACTATTTCAATTGTCTCTGTGGCATGTATTCCATAACAATAACAAACTTAATTTGAACAAAGGACACAAAGTAATTTCTCCTTAACAGACAACACCTAAAAGCTGGGCCATATCTATATTAGGACATGCGGAGATCGTGGCGGGAGATTAATGCAAAAGTTCAAACGCTTGAGAAAAAGTAAAATTGAAAAAAGTGCAGTTGATGTAGAAATTAAACATCTGGTTAATTAATCTGATTTGGAAAGGTGCGCCGCATCCCCATGCATGCACAGAACATGCTGTTACACCTCTATAAAAGAGAACGTGCAGAAGGTAACTTTACGTTTTCTGAGGTTTGCATTCATCAGAACCATCAAATATGCATTTTCTTAAAGTCGCAGTGCTCCTTGTAGCAGGTGAGCATACCTCGTTGGTGCCTAAATGTAAATCTACACTAGTCACGCTGTATAATCGCCTGGCTGAAAGTTCAGATCATTTGTGAGAAAAGTTACTTGACAGTCACTGTCAATCTATATAGGAAACCTAAATATGATATGCCATCTACTCCAACTGTCAACATTTTATTAACGCGATGTGACTGTGTTTACGTCTTAATAATTGCTTTTAACTAGCCTGAACAGTACACATTATCAGCGTCGCAAATAATGTATTGTGTTTTCTCTTTCTGACAGTTCTTGCTGCAGTGTTCGGAACCAGCATGGCCAAGGGTCATGGTGGTGGTCATGGTCATGGTCATGGAGGCGGTCATGGAGGTGGAAAGGGTCATGGCGGCAAAGGTCATGGTGGTGGCCATGGGGGCAAGGGACACGGAGGCCATGGTGGCGGACACGGGGGCAAAGGACATGGAGGCGGCCATGGAGGAAAGGGGCACCATGGATAAACATAGCAGCTGGTAGGTAGACGGTTAGATCTCACAATGGTTGTGTTGCAAACGTTCTTAACTGTGTTTTCCAAAGAACAATTAACGCATGACGGGATGAACTCTTTCCTCGGGAATACTCGTTTCTGTAAACATAAAGTATATATCTCGGAGGCAATGTCCTCTGCAAATTTTAGTAGAAATGACATGCCTGATAACTTTGGCCTATTCTTCATTTCAGAAAGATGTGTCACGAGAAAGCCCTTGTTTTTTATTCCACTGCTGCTGGACAACGGGGAAACAACAACTCATGTAAAACATGATGATCTTGTATTTTGTTTGACCAGACCTCTGAATAAAAATACACTCCAAAGTGTTAAATCTGATTACACATTATCTTCTCTTTTATTGTGTACGGGGATCACTGGGCTAAAGTGAGAATGCTCTGGCCGCCAATACATTTACCTCTTACCAAATTGGTATGAGGAATGATTCATATGCACACTGGTTTATCATGGACTCTCTCTCTCTCTCTCTCTCTCTCTCTCTCTCTCTCTCTCTCTCTCTCTCTCTCTCTCTCTCTCTCTCCCTCTCTCTCTCTCTCTCTCTCTCTCTCACAAACACTAACAGACAAACAAGCCTACTGACACATTTGCTATCTTGATAGCTGATAGCGCCTCCCGCGTCCATATGATAAATTCAATGCATATCGACAATGGTGTGCATATTAGGTTAATACCATCAAATGACGACGAATCCTTGCTAAGTATGTGGGTTGATACAAGATATATATGACTCAGTGGCACATTTGAGAGACCCGACGCACGTACCAGTTGAAAGTAGTTGGGACATGCCATAGAGCAGGCGTTGTGCAGAATTGGACTGATTACTACCTCTATCCTAAGTTGCTTTATAGCTGCAGTTAAACACTACGGCATTTTGGATGACATGAGCCATGGTGTTTCGGGGAGTGGATTTTATAGCATGCACGAAACAAGGATGTGTCGTCTTATCATATCTCAGACCATACTCTCTTGCTGTCAGACTTAAACCTACGTCTGTCACTTGGGCTGTTATGTACATGCACTAAGTATTATTTTATTTGCACAATTGCTTTAGTTCTGTAGTCATTCTAGCATCCATATAGAAGAGAATGAATAATACAAACAGTAGCATAATTGTCAGATCGATGTTTTAATTCTTTGAGGCAATGATGATACACGAATCACAATCAATACAATAGGTTATCGACTACACAGTGGATTCCCAGCATCCAGATTCTCATGTGACTGTGTACTTAGGATATCAATCCCCAACGTCTCGGCAGCTTCATCCGTGGTGACCGTGTCCTCCGTGGCCATGACCTCCGTGACCATGACCTCCGTGACCATGACCTCCGTGACCATGACCATGTCCTCCATGACCGTGACCACCATGTCCATGTCCATGACCTCCATGTCCGTGACCACCATGTCCATGACCACCATGTCCGTGGCCACCATGACCGTGAGCACTAGCCAAACCCAAAACGGCTGCCAGAGCTGGAAAATAAACAAAGACACGCCCATGTATAAAGCATTACACTTTATATAGTAGATGTTGAGGAGGATGTTGCTTGAAACTTGAAGCAACACACTTTCCTGTGAAATTAACACTTTTACGCTGTTGGAATATAGGATTTGGAGTTACAATACTGTCATATCACACACAAACAACTCCATTTTAAAGATTGCATGGGACATGTTACTTTCCAGTGTTTTATTTCGGACAGCTAATACCATTTAAACTGATATAGCATGACAACAGAATGATAATACTCACCAAGGCCAAGAAGTGCGGCGAAGTTAGAGAACTGCATATTGTATCGTAATGTCCTTCTTTGGTAAGCGAAAGGAAAAAACTGATAGCTGCCAGTTTTTTACGAACTTATATACCTCGCGATCGCGGAAATGGTAGAAAAATTATATCATAATGATATTATTGCATAAACTGCTTTGTAACGCTTGTGGTGATGTCACAGTGGTTTTAGCTACACACCAAGCACACCGCAGAGCTCCAAGGAAGCCTATTAATATCCCGCAAGCGATGCATGTGGTGATTTGCTGTCGGCTAAATGTTTTCGTTTTACACATACATGTAGTTCAACCCCCTTTATCAATTACCATTAGACTGGCCTTCACCATACCCTCTTACCTTTTGTCGGTACAAGAACTATTTCAATTGTCTCTGTGGCATGTATTCGATAACAATAACAAACTTAATTTGAACAAAGGACACAAAGTAATTTCTCCTTATCAGACAACACCTAAAAGCTGGGCCATATCTATATTAGGACATGCGGAGATCGTGGCGGGAGATTAATGCAAAAGTTCAAACGCTTGAGAAAAAGTAAAATTGAAAAAAGTGCAGTTGATGTAGAAATTAAACATCTGGTTAATTAATCTGATTTGGAAAGGTGCGCCGCATCCCCATGCATGCACAGAACATGCTGTTACACCTCTATAAAAGAGAACGTGCAGAAGGTAACTTTACGTTTTCTGAGGTTTGCATTCATCAGAACCATCAAATATGCATTTTCTTCAAGTCGCAGTGCTCCTTGTAGCAGGTGAGCATACCTCGTTGGTGCCTAAATGTAAATCTACACTAGTCACGCTGTATAATCGCCTGGCTGAAAGTTCAGATCATTTGTGAGAAAAGTTACTTGACAGTCACTGTCAATCTATATAGGAAACCTAAATATGATATGCCATCTACTCCAACTGTCAACATTTTATTAACGCGATGTGACTGTGTTTACGTCTTAATAATTGCTTTTAACTAGCCTGAACAGTACACATTATCAGCGTCGCAAATAATGTATTGTGTTTTCTCTTTCTGACAGTTCTTGCTGCAGTGTTCGGAACCAACATGGCCAAGGGTCATGGTGGTGGTCATGGTCATGGTCATGGAGGCGGTCATGGAGGTGGAAAGGGTCATGGCGGCAAAGGTCATGGTGGTGGCCATGGGGGCAAGGGACACGGAGGCCATGGTGGCGGACACGGGGGCAAAGGACATGGAGGCGGCCATGGAGGAAAGGGGCACCATGGATAAACATAGCAGCTGGTAGGTAGACGGTTAGATCTCACAATGGTTGTGTTGCAAACGTTCTTAACTGTGTTTTCCAAAGAACAATTAACGCATGACGGGATGAACTCTTTCCTCGGGAATACTCGTTTCTGTAAACATAAAGTATATATCTCGGAGGCAATGTCCTCTGCAAATTTTAGTAGAAATGACATGCCTGATAACTTTGGCCTATTCTTCATTTCAGAAAGATGTGTCACGAGAAAGCCCTTGTTTTTTATTCCACTGCTGCTGGACAACGGGGAAACAACAACTCATGTAAAACATGATGATCTTGTATTTTGTTTGACCAGACCTCTGAATAAAAATACACTCCAAAGTGTTAAATCTGATTACACATTATCTTCTCTTTTATTGTGTACGGGGATCACTGGGCTAAAGTGAGAATGCTCTGGCCGCCAAAACATTTACCTCTTACCAAATTGGTATGAGGAATGATTCATATGCACACTGGTTTATCATGGACTCTCTCTCTCTCTCTCTCTCTCTCTCTCTCTCTCTCTCTCTCTCTCTCTCTCTCTCTCTCCTCTCTCTCTCTCTCTCTCTCTCTCTCACAAACACTAACAGACAAACAAGCCTACTGACACATTTGCTATCTTGATAGCTGATAGCGCCTCCCGCGTCCATATGATAAATTCAATGCATATCGACAATGGTGTGCATATTAGGTTAATACCATCAAATGACGACGAATCCTTGCTAAGTATGTGGGTTGATACAAGATATATATGACTCAGTGGCACATTTGAGAGACCCGACGCACGTACCAGTTGAAAGTAGTTGGGACATGCCATAGAGCAGGCGTTGTGCAGAATTGGACTGATTACTACCTCTATCCTAAGTTGCTTTATAGCTGCAGTTAAACACTACGGCATTTTGGATGACATGAGCCATGGTGTTTCGGGGAGTGGATTTTATAGCATGCACGAAACAAGGATGTGTCGTCTTATCATATCTCAGACCATACTCTCTTGCTGTCAGACTTAAACCTACGTCTGTCACTTGGGCTGTTATGTACATGCACTAAGTATTATTTTATTTGCACAATTGCTTTAGTTCTGTAGTCATTCTAGCATCCATATAGAAGAGAATGAATAATACAAACAGTAGCATAATTGTCAGATCGATGTTTTAATTCTTTGAGGCAATGATGATACACGAATCACAATCAATACAATAGGTTATCGACTACACAGTGGATTCCCAGCATCCAGATTCTCATGTGACTGTGTACTTAGGATATCAATCCCCAACGTCTCGGCAGCTTCATCCGTGGTGACCGTGTCCTCCGTGGCCATGACCTCCGTGACCATGACCTCCGTGACCATGACCTCCGTGACCATGACCATGTCCTCCATGACCGTGACCACCATGTCCATGTCCATGACCTCCATGTCCGTGACCACCATGTCCATGACCACCATGTCCGTGGCCACCATGACCGTGAGCACTAGCCAAACCCAAAACGGCTGCCAGAGCTGGAAAATAAACAAAGACACGCCCATGTATAAAGCATTACACTTTATATAGTAGATGTTGAGGAGGATGTTGCTTGAAACTTGAAGCAACACACTTTCCTGTGAAATTAACACTTTTACGCTGTTGGAATATAGGATTTGGAGTTACAATACTGTCATATCACACACAAACAACTCCATTTTAAAGATTGCATGGGACATGTTACTTTCCAGTGTTTTATTTCGGACAGCTAATACCATTTAAACTGATATAGCATGACAACAGAATGATAATACTCACCAAGGCCAAGAAGTGCGGCGAAGTTAGAGAACTGCATATTGTATCGTAATGTCCTTCTTTGGTAAGCGAAAGGAAAAAACTGATAGCTGCCAGTTTTTTACGAACTTATATACCTCGCGATCGCGGAAATGGTAGAAAAATTATATCATAATGATATTATTGCATAAACTGCTTTGTAACGCTTGTGGTGATGTCACAGTGGTTTTAGCTACACACCAAGCACACCGCAGAGCTCCAAGGAAGCCTATTAATATCCCGCAAGCGATGCATGTGGTGATTTGCTGTCGGCTAAATGTTTTCGTTTTACACATACATGTAGTTCAACCCCCTTTATCAATTACCATTAGACTGGCCTTCACCATACCCTCTTACCTTTTGTCGGTACAAGAACTATTTCAATTGTCTCTGTGGCATGTATTCGATAACAATAACAAACTTAATTTGAACAAAGGACACAAAGTAATTTCTCCTTATCAGACAACACCTAAAAGCTGGGCCATATCTATATTAGGACATGCGGAGATCGTGGCGGGAGATTAATGCAAAAGTTCAAACGCTTGAGAAAAAGTAAAATTGAAAAAAGTGCAGTTGATGTAGAAATTAAACATCTGGTTAATTAATCTGATTTGGAAAGGTGCGCCGCATCCCCATGCATGCACAGAACATGCTGTTACACCTCTATAAAAGAGAACGTGCAGAAGGTAACTTTACGTTTTCTGAGGTTTGCATTCATCAGAACCATCAAATATGCATTTTCTTAAAGTCGCAGTGCTCCTTGTAGCAGGTGAGCATACCTCGTTGGTGCCTAAATGTAAATCTACACTAGTCACGCTGTATAATCGCCTGGCTGAAAGTTCAGATCATTTGTGAGAAAAGTTACTTGACAGTCACTGTCAATCTATATAGGAAACCTAAATATGATATGCCATCTACTCCAACTGTCAACATTTTATTAACGCGATGTGACTGTGTTTACGTCTTAATAATTGCTTTTAACTAGCCTGAACAGTACACATTATCAGCGTCGCAAATAATGTATTGTGTTTTCTCTTTCTGACAGTTCTTGCTGCAGTGTTCGGAACCAGCATGGCCAAGGGTCATGGTGGTGGTCATGGTCATGGTCATGGAGGCGGTCATGGAGGTGGAAAGGGTCATGGCGGCAAAGGTCATGGTGGTGGCCATGGGGGCAAGGGACACGGAGGCCATGGTGGCGGACACGGGGGCAAAGGACATGGAGGCGGCCATGGAGGAAAGGGGCACCATGGATAAACATAGCAGCTGGTAGGTAGACGGTTAGATCTCACAATGGTTGTGTTGCAAACGTTCTTAACTGTGTTTTCCAAAGAACAATTAACGCATGACGGGATGAACTCTTTCCTCGGGAATACTCGTTTCTGTAAACATAAAGTATATATCTCGGAGGCAATGTCCTCTGCAAATTTTAGTAGAAATGACATGCCTGATAACTTTGGCCTATTCTTCATTTCAGAAAGATGTGTCACGAGAAAGCCCTTGTTTTTTATTCCACTGCTGCTGGACAACGGGGAAACAACAACTCATGTAAAACATGATGATCTTGTATTTTGTTTGACCAGACCTCTGAATAAAAATACACTCCAAAGTGTTAAATCTGATTACACATTATCTTCTCTTTTATTGTGTACGGGGATCACTGGGCTAAAGTGAGAATGCTCTGGCCGCCAAAACATTTACCTCTTACCAAATTGGTATGAGGAATGATTCATATGCACACTGGTTTATCATGGACTCTCTCTCTCTCTCTCTCTCTCTCTCTCTCTCTCTCTCTCTCTCTCTCTCTCTCTCTCTCTCTCTCTCTCTCTCTCTCACAAACACTAACAGACAAACAAGCCTACTGACACATTTGCTATCTTGATAGCTGATAGCGCCTCCCGCGTCCATATGATAAATTCAATGAATATCGACAATGGTGTGCATATTAGGTTAATACCATCAAATGACGACGAATCCTTGCTAAGTATGTGGGTTGATACAAGATATATATGACTCAGTGGCACATTTGAGAGACCCGACGCACGTACCAGTTGAAAGTAGTTGGGACATGCCATAGAGCAGGCGTTGTGCAGAATTGGACTGATTACTACCTCTATCCTAAGTTGCTTTATAGCTGCAGTTAAACACTACGGCATTTTGGATGACATGAGCCATGGTGTTTCGGGGAGTGGATTTTATAGCATGCACGAAACAAGGATGTGTCGTCTTATCATATCTCAGACCATACTCTCTTGCTGTCAGACTTAAACCTACGTCTGTCACTTGGGCTGTTATGTACATGCACTAAGTATTATTTTATTTGCACAATTGCTTTAGTTCTGTAGTCATTCTAGCATCCATATAGAAGAGAATGAATAATACAAACAGTAGCATAATTGTCAGATCGATGTTTTAATTCTTTGAGGCAATGATGATACACGAATCACAATCAATACAATAGGTTATCGACTACACAGTGGATTCCCAGCATCCAGATTCTCATGTGACTGTGTACTTAGGATATCAATCCCCAACGTCTCGGCAGCTTCATCCGTGGTGACCGTGTCCTCCGTGGCCATGACCTCCGTGACCATGACCTCCGTGACCATGACCTCCGTGACCATGACCATGTCCTCCATGACCGTGACCACCATGTCCATGTCCATGACCTCCATGTCCGTGACCACCATGTCCATGACCACCATGTCCGTGGCCACCATGACCGTGAGCACTAGCCAAACCCAAAACGGCTGCCAGAGCTGGAAAATAAACAAAGACACGCCCATGTATAAAGCATTACACTTTATATAGTAGATGTTGAGGAGGATGTTGCTTGAAACTTGAAGCAACACACTTTCCTGTGAAATTAACACTTTTACGCTGTTGGAATATAGGATTTGGAGTTACAATACTGTCATATCACACACAAACAACTCCATTTTAAAGATTGCATGGGACATGTTACTTTCCAGCGTTTTATTTCGGACAGCTAATACCATTTAAACTGATATAGCATGACAACAGAATGATAATACTCACCAAGGCCAAGAAGTGCGGCGAAGTTAGAGAACTGCATATTGTATCGTAATGTCCTTCTTTGGTAAGCGAAAGGAAAAAACGGATAGCTGCCAGTTTTTTACGAACTTATATACCTCGCGATCGCGGAAATGGTAGAAAAATTATATCATAATGATATTATTGCATAAACTGCTTTGTAACGCTTGTGGTGATGTCACAGTGGTTTTAGCTACACACCAAGCACACCGCAGAGCTCCAAGGAAGCCTATTAATATCCCGCAAGCGATGCATGTGGTGATTTGCTGTCGGCTAAATGTTTTCGTTTTACACATACATGTAGTTCAACCCCCTTTATCAATTACCATTAGACTGGCCTTCACCATACCCTCTTACCTTTTGTCGGTACAAGAACTATTTCAATTGTCTCTGTGGCATGTATTCGATAACAATAACAAACTTAATTTGAACAAAGGACACAAAGTAATTTCTCCTTAACAGACAACACCTAAAAGCTGGGCCATATCTATATTAGGACATGCGGAGA